TAGCCCAATCAAACAATCCATCAAAGCCATGCAAAACCACCATTCACACACACTTCACACAAACAACATCCTAGCCGCACTCCCCCTTGCATTTCCAGCCATTCCACTTCATCATTGCACCACATTCTCCCTCTTTAATCCACATGCATTCATCATCATTCACCCTAGCTGCCACTCACATGCATTCACACACACTTCACACAAACAACAATCACTTCAAACCGTGCATAACAATTCCAGCACCATCAACACCTTGCCGTGCATTTCACATCCACTTTCCAGCATTCCATTTCATTATTGCAGCCACCATTCACTCTTTAATCCACATGCATTCATCATCATTCACTCTAGTTTTAATTCACATGCAAACATATGCATTTCCAGCACCAAACTTCCATCTTAGCCGTGCAAAACAGCACCCATTTTCAGCTTTCCACCAACCAACCTAGCTGTCATTCCACATGCATTCCCTCCTTAATCATGCAGCCACATTCTCTCACATTCTCTCCCATTCTCTCCCTATAAAACCATGCAATCCCATCACACATCCACACCATTCCACACCTCCATTCACCACAGAAATTCCCACACAACACAACACAACAACAAACACAATAAGCTTGCCGTGCCTCCCCATTCCATTTCCAGCATTCTTCCCTTCCATTTCTGCACCATATCTCCTCCATTGCAGCCACTCCAACCACTCCCCATCCCTCCAAACCTATCCTTAGACCTTATGCCACAACAAAGAGGAGGAGAAGAGTGCCTAAACGTTCATACAATTCAAGTTTGAGTTGTTGGAATTTTTAGGTGTTGCTTTTCCTCGATTTCAATGTTTAATTTCAATTCTCTTTGTTTTGTACGTATGAGGAACTAAACCCCCCTTGGCTAGGGGGGATTCGAAATATATGTTTATGATTGCAATATGATTTGATTACTTCTAATTACGTTTCATAAGTTGTGAATTCAATTTACTTATCTATGTGAAGTACATTGATTTGTGTGTGTTGATTGAGAGTGCACGCTTAATTATCATGCATAAATTGGATGCTAGGATATAAGGAAATTTCACCTAATCGTTATGGAATTATATTCACAAGTAGTAAAGGTTGATGATCTCAATCGCGTTAAGTAAATTCTTGGCATAAGTTTCATGCAATCATAGTAACAAGTGCTTCGTCAATGCTTATGGTTTTCATAGAACTTAATGATTCTTGCTTGTATCTCTATTATGCAATCATGTAGGGGACTTGTGGGGAATGTTTTGGGTTGTCGTATGCAATCATCCAATTCAATAACGTTAGGAAAATCTGAGGGTTAATTAGTGCAATTCACGGTTAATCTGGGGCGTTGAGAATTCATGGTTTATTGAAAAGCAATTAGAAATCATTTTGTGTGCAAGTATAACATGTGTGGAGATGAACCCCTTAGCTAGCTTCTCATCCATTCAATTCCATCAAATTCGTATTTACAATTTGTTTTCTTTACAATCTGTCCATTTTAGTTTAATTTCGTCAAAACCTCAATTCCCCCATATTTTGTTTAGTCTTAGTCATTACAATCTATCTTATTTTGAGTTTTGCATTCTTTGAGTCTAGTATAGTGTTTTAAACTTGTTTTTACGTTTTTGAGTCAAATCCAAGTGATTAACAGTCCCTCCTAATCCTCGGTCCAGAACGATCCCTACTTACATACTTACTACAATTGATAAAAAGAGGGTTTAATTTATGTGTGTCACATTCAGTAACGCACCACTTTGCCAAGGACGAGAAGTTTCTCTTCATGCATGCTGAAGTGCTTCGTCTCAAGGAGGTTGCCATTAAGCTTGAGTCCAAGGAGATGGATCTGCAAGGTGCGTTGTCTGCTAGCGAAAACCTGAAAAAGGAACTAGATAAGCTAAAGAGTGCTCACACTGGGCTTGTTGAGGAGAATGTGTAGTTGAAGATGAGAAAGTTGGTCACGAAGTGGTGCTTGCTTCTTGTCAGGCCGATTTCTACAAGCTTGGCTATGTAGACCATTTTCAGGGCACGCCGTCGGATTATGAGTTTTCCGAGAATGACTTCGAGACTTTTTCCATTTCTTCAGTTTATTTGCTTGATTTCTCGTCTAAGGCTGCCTTTGGTAGAGTAGCTGAGGATCAGGCAGTCCAAGCAAGTGAGGCTGAAACTGAGCTGATAGAAGCTTTGGTTGCTGGGAGCGGTGCGAGTGCTGAAGGCGTGGTAGTCGGGGAACTAATGGTTGCCCAGGTTGCCAAATAAGTAGTCTTTTTGCTTAGACTTAAGAGTTTTCTTCTTTTCCTTTTTGTTTTGCTTTGCTTAAACTTTGTTAGCCTTTGAGCCGGTTTATCAATTTGCTAGAAATTTAATAAACAGATTTCCTTGTTTTTACTTCATCCTTTTATTTTGCTATGTCTTTCATGAAACTTTACCGTAGAATGAGCGGTTAGGTGAGCTGCTTCAACAAAGTAGTTGATCCTACATCGTCACTTAGGTTTTAGTTTCGGCTTCAGGGCTTTGGGAGCCTTGCCTGCTTGAGGCGTCTAGCAAAACTTTGTCTTTGGACAAGCAGTTGAGTTGGCTACTTTGATGAAGCAATTGACTCATGCGGTCAATTTAGGCTTCAGTTTTGGCTTTGGGGCTTCTAGAGCTTTACCTACAAAGAGAAGAAATGTGAGATTTCCTACTTATAGAGTCGGTGGCCTAACTCGTTGTCTCTATAAGAGGCAGGCAAATTCACATAGCTACCATAGCTGTGAATCTCGGCTTTAGGTAACTTCGTGAGCTTTAGCCCTCCCAGGGCGTATTGCGAAATTTTTTAACCTATAGGGCCAGTGTTGAACACGTGCTTCACGTAGAAAACAGAGGAGTTCTTGTGGCCACTATGGTTGTATTCCGGTTTTCGAGTGGCTTCTTTGAGCTTTGGCCCTCCCGGGACATGTTGCGAGATTTTTTAACTTATAGAGTCGTCGGCCGGACTCATGCTTCTCATAAGAAGCAGAAGAGGTCCGTGTAGCTGCTATAGTCATGACACTCAACTTTGTCCCAGCAAAACTTAAACCATAGACCGTCGGTCAGAAATGCTGCTTATAAATAAGCAGATGAGTTCGTGTGGTCATGGTAAGCATAAGTTTCAGCTTACGGGCTGCCTTGGGCTTTAGCCGTCGGGTTGTTGGCCAAGTGTCTTACCTACAAAAGCAGACGACCCGTGTAACCACTTCAGGAGTTATCCCTAGCTTTCGAATGCGTTTTTTGGCGTGAGGTGTAGGTGAAGTCGCTCTTCAGAGGCCATATCCTTCCGAGTTGCAGTTTTGATCCCGCAAGTCGCTTAATTAATATTGCAACACTTTAAAATCAAGCCACTTCATGAAGATTTACACATCGAGGACGAACCATCTTGTCACGTGAACTTTTTCATGGGTAGGGGTAATGCACTTAGCGTCTCTTCCGATTAAGACCTGGGATCCCGCAGAATTGAATCATTCAGTTGGCTAAGTTTATTCCAGTGGAATGACTATTTTAGCCAATTCTGGGAGTAGTCTGGCTCAGTTAGTCGCTGACATCAGGGGAAACTGAGCAGTCGTACCACCCATCTACATCTGGATATTCCGAATACGCCATGTTTGAACGTGCAGAGGGCGTCCTCTACTTGTCACATAGATGGTTATGTCATGTCTACAGGGGAGTGGGCGTCTCACGCCATGTTTGCAGGGCAGTAGGCATCTTGCACCATGTCTGCTGAGCAGCGGGTATCTTGCACCATGTCAGCCAGGCAGCGGGTATCTTCTGCTTATCACATGAGTTGGTCGGTTTGTTTATGTATTTGGCCCTGGCTTGCGAATAATTCCTTCAATCTTCATTAAGAATAGAGGCTTTTATTAACTTTGCTCATAAGCAGTAATGTCATAACAACTGATAATCCTCGGCATGCGAGGTCTTGTTCGTCGAGCTACTTGAGTCTTCGAACCGTTTTTTTTTTTTTTTCATGTCTTGAACAGGGTCTAAGGAATAGTGGGAAGTCACATGTAGTACTTCCTCAGGTTATAGGCATTCCACTGCTTGTCGATTTCTTTGTCGCTCATAGTCATGAGGGTGTAGCTGTCATTTCCGCCTACTCGGCTGATTTTGTACAGACCTTCATCTTTTTGGAGCCTTCCCGTTGAGCGGTGATGAAGGCTTTTTTTAGGACTAAGTTTCCTGGCTGGAACTGCCAAATTTTTTCCCTCTTGTTTTAGCTGGAGAGGATCTGCTGCTAATAGGTCGCAATGTGGGTGATAATCTTCTCGCGCTCTTCCTCTGCCAAGTCTAAGTTGGTGGCCATCTCCTTTTTGTTCTGCTCGAGGTTCGGCAGTACAGTGATGATGCTTAGCACTACGACGTTAGGAGGAATGATTGCCTCAGAACCATACGCCAGGGAGAATGAAGTTTCGCCGGTTGCTTGTCTTTTGGTGGTGCGATATGCCCATAGAACACCGGGGAGCTCGTATGGCCACTTACCCTTCTTGTCTAAAAGGGTCTTCTTAACGTAGTCAAGAATGGTCTTGTTAGACACCTTGGTCTGCCCATTGCCCTGTGAACATTGGGGCGTGGACATTTGCTGCTTAATGCCATATTTTTCGAAGAACTTCGCCAAGTCTTTGCCCACGAACTGTGGACCATTGTCAATGACGATGGAGTGTAGGATGCCGAAGCGGCAGATGATGTTCTTCCATATGAAACGTTCTGTATCTGTCTGGGTAGTTGTAGTCATGGGTTTGGCTTCGACCCATTTTGTGAAGTAGTCGATCGCTACGATCATCATGCATTTGCCCCCAGTAGTAGGCGGCATTGGTCCTACCAAGTCGATCGCCCACTGCATGAATGGTCATGGGCTCGTTTGTAGGTGGAGTTCGTTGACAGGTAGTGTGGGCACGGTCTTAAAACGCTGGCAGTTGTCGCACCTTGTATATATTCCTTAGGGTCTTGATGCATGGTCGACCAATAATAGCCAGTGTTGAAAGCTTTTTATGCCAATGAGCGGCCTCCATAATGGTTTCCACATACGTCTTCATGGATTGAGCTAAGAATCTTCAGGTCGTCAGGAGGTGATAGGCAGCGAAGATTTGGTACTGAGAAGGATCTTTGAATGAGCATGTCATTCCACATGTAGTAGCATGCTACCTTCATCTGGAGCTTCTTGGACTCTAGTCTGTCCGCGGGGAGCATTCCATTGACTACATAGTCGATGATGAGATCTTGCCAACTCAGGATTGTGCTGATTTGCGCCACCTCGACTGCTGGTTCCTCATCTATGCTTGGCTTTTCCAAGTACTTGATTAAGATAGAGTGCCTAAGCTGATGGTCTAGTGCAGAACCTAAGCTTACTAGTGCGTCTGCGTGGGCATTTTTTGCTCATGGAACCTGAGTGAGTGTGTACGCTTGGAACGTCGCTAGCTGTTCTCGTACCTTCTTGAGGTATTGAGCCATCCTTGGATGCTTTGCTGCAGAATCTCCTAAGATTTGGTTAGTAATCAACTGGGAATTGGAATAAATCGAGAGCTCTTTCACCGCTAGGTCTTTTGCCAATCGGAGACCTGCTAGTACAATTTCATACTCCGCTTCATTGTTTGATGCTTTAAAGCTTAAAGTGATCGCTTGCTCAAGTATTGAGTCGTCTGGGGTAATAAGAACTAAGCATGCCCCTAATCCTTGATGGTTGGATGATCTATCGACTTGCAAATGCCAAAAATATCCATTAGGTGGGGCTAGTACTGCTATGGCATGCTCGGCTGTCTCCGAGGTGCTTTTGGGCTGTGTTGCTGCATCTTTTATGCTTGGGGTGAATTCTGCTATGAAGTCCACCAATGTCTGGGCTTTTATCGTCGTGTGGGGTTGGTATGTTAGGCTGTATTGACCAAGTTCCAACACCCACTTCATTACTTGTTGAGAAGCATCTGGACTGTGCAAAACTGATCGTAGTGGGTACTTGGTCATGAAGATGACCGGATGCCCTTGAAAGTAAGGTCTGAGCTTCTGAGTTGCAACAACTAGCGCCAAAATTAGCTTTTCAATTTTCGAGTATCTAGTTTCCATATCGAGGAGAGCTTTGGATGTGTAGAATACAGGCAGTTGGGCCCCCAGCTCTTCTTGTATAATGGCAGAGCTTACTGCTACTTCTAATACCGACAGATAAATGTATAGGTTCTTCGCTGCTTCCGGTTTGGATAGTAGTAGAGGTGATGTCAGGTACTGTTTCATGTCTTAAAATGCTTTCTCACACTCATCGTCCTACTTGTCCCTCTGTGCCTTTTGATCGCCTTAAAGAAGGCTTGTATCAGTCGGTGGATCGCAAAAGGAAACGATTGAGTGCGGCTACTCGTCCGCTCAGACTTTGGATCTCTTTCAGAGTTGTGGGTGATTTTATGTCCAAGATCGCTTTGATCTGCCTTGGATGAGCCTCGATTCCTCATTGGGTTATAAGTTACCTTAAGAATTGGCCTGAAGAAACGCCAAATGTGCACTTGGCTGGGTTGAGCTTTATGTTGTATTTTCGGAGAATGGCAAAATTTTCTGCCAAGTTGCAAATGTGGTCTAACCGCTGCTTGCCTTTAACCATGATGTCGTCGACGTAAACTACCATGGTGACTCCAATCTGCTTCTTAAACATCATGTTTACGAGTGCGGTCCTTTCTTTGTCAGGCTTTTGCATGGCAGTCTAATTGTAGCCTGATACGCATCCAAGAAGCTAAGCAGCTGGTTCCCGGATGTTGAGTCAACGAGCAACTCAATTCGGGGAATCGGGTAGTTGTCTTTAGGGCAAGCCTTGTTGAGGTCGATGTAATCCACGCGTACTCTCCATTTGCCTTTTCTTTTCTCATCACTAGCATGATGTTGGCCAGCCATGTTGAGTGTGCCACTTCCTCAATGAATCCAGCCTCCAGTAACTTGTTAATCTTTTCCTCAATAATTGATATTCGCTCGGGTGTGAAATGTCACCTTTTTTGGATCACAGGTTTGGCAGCATGATCGACGTGTAGCTTGTGACAAGCTATCACTGGATCTATACCGGGCATATCAGAGGGTGACTATGCGAAGACGTCGTGATTTTCCTTAAGGAAAGCCATGAGCTCTTTTTTCTCTGTTGGGCTCAAACGTGAGCCGATTTTAGCCGTCTTTTCCAGCTGGTGGGGGTTAAGAATGATGTTTTCAATGTCTTCTTCAGGTTTCCATCCTGATTCATCTTCCAGGGCATTGTCGACCTTGACGTCATCTTCTTGACCTGCCCGCTGTAATTGCTATTTAGCGGAAATAAAGTCGTCTTTCTGCACTTTAGCTGCTACTGTTGGGGCGAAAGATTTCTTCTTCAACTCCTTGAGAACTTGTACAGTGCATCGCCTAAACATGGCATGGTCGCCTTTAATCTCTCCGACTGCTCATCCCGGGATGCGGGAATCAGATTTTCTGATACTCAATCGATGTCATAACTTCAATCTTCACTAGCCGGGGTCAGCCTAATATCCCACTGTGCGGAGATGGGTTACTAACAATCATGAAGGTCTGCAATGAGATAATCGGTGGGCTGGTTACGTCAAGTGTGATAGTGTCAATAACAGTTGAGGTGAGTTCGTTAAATCCGCTCAAGACCTCTATTTTGTGTTTGATTGTGCTTTCTAGGCCCTTCTTTTGGATGACTAATAGTTGTAAGAGGTTGACTGAGCCGTCATTGTCCACCATGATTCTATCAACATTGGCATGGGCTAGTTGTACAGAAATTACTAGGGTGTCGTCGTGGGGAAAGTATACTTCCTCAGCGTCCTGCTCGATGAAGCCGACGATTAGTCCAGGTATAACATCTACAGCTTGAACCTGATTGACTAATCTCGCCTGCTAGATCTTCCTTTTCTTGGAGTTATTGGTGGCCCCCAGATGCTCAGATTCGGGAAAAATTCCATTGATTCAGATTGTCTTAGTTAGGGGTTCGGCATCGGCATCTGCTTCTCGCTTTGGCCAGGTAGCTGATCTGTCAACATACTGGTTGCATTTGCCCTCCTTTACAAGCTGCTCAAGGTACCTTTTCCACGTGGTGCAATCATTGGTTATGTTCCTAGAACCTCTGTGGAATACGCAATATTTGGTCTGGTTCATCTTAGAGGTGTCACCCTTTAAAGGTGGTAACGGCTTGAACCATGGCTTGTCCTTAAGGTCGCGAAGGATTTGGCTGATCGGGACTAAGAACTTGGTGTACGTCTTGGGCAATGTGCCTCCTTTTGCTAGGGATTGGTCCCTGCACTTATCTTCTAGACTGCTTTTGATGTTGAGCGATTTATCGCTCACCTTCTTCTGAGTCGGTTCCGCGACTCTGCGTGGCTGCTCAAGCGGCTTTTAGGAGCTATTTTCTTCATCCCAGAGGGGGTGCTTTTCTGCTAAAACATAAAAGTTTGCCAGGGACAGGTTCTTACCCATAATCAATTCTCCGAAAAACGGGTGATGTACTGGGAGCCTCTTTCAAAAAGTTGAACATGCGATCCTATCATCACATCCGACGATCTTTGCCTTCTCCGCCTTGAATCTTTTGACGTAAGTGCGGAGTGATTCATTCGGATCGTTCATGCTGAAGAGGTGGTTAGACTTCTTTTTGATCGAGTGATAGGACGAATATTTCTTAATGAAGACCAAGGAAAGTTCGCTGAAGTTCCGGATTAAGTGTAGCTGCAAGGTGTGGAACCAGTCTTGCGCCTCGTATTGGAGCATCATGGCAAAGATCTTGCACATGAGAGCGTCATTGTTGGCGTAAAGGGTTATGGCACTTTGGTAGTGCATCAAGTGCCTGTCCAGATCTTCATTTCCCCTAAACAAGGTGAAATGTAACTGGTTGAACTTCCGCGGTAGCTCCATCTGCTCGATCTCGTCTGTAAAGGGTGACTTGCTCAGGTTAGCCACATCTCTAAGGAGGGAATCGTCGGTAGTGTTAATACGCTGGAATCCGCACAACTCCTCTGCTACGAGCCTTTGTACTTCCTCCTGGATTTGCACTTAGTAAGGGAGCAGAACCTTCAGCTACCCCCGGTCCACATTGCTTTTCGGCTTGTCCTGCTCGTCTGTGCTACGGTTTCGGTGTACGTGGTTCATGCTGTGCTATTTGCCGTTGTGCTTGGCAAGGGCTGCCAATCGAACTCAAGCTGGACTGTTCTCGTGTTCTCCTCTGGGCATCATACGGCTATCTACTCTATTGCCTCGTAGGAGGATCTCCTTGTGGGCTTAGCCTCATGTGGACACTTCGCCTAGAATGTCCTGAGTGCTCGTCGGAGTGTGGACCCAACCTCAAATACACACTGACTCGTGAGCCGAGTCGGGAATGAACGCTTCTCTATGCATTTAGGCAGGAGAAAAAATTTCCCCGAGGGCCCAAACTAGAGTGCACACTACCCGAACGCACAGTTCGTGGTGGGCTGAGTGGCTCTTTGCCAAAAGCCGCTGGAATGAGTCACGTTCTTCCGCCTTTATCCTACTTCGGGATATCTCATCTGGGGCGTGCTGCATCTCGATACACTCGAGGAGTTGGTTCACCAAGGTGGTATTCTGCGCGAGGGCATTCATTAAATTGGCGACCTGCTGGGGCAGGTGGTGCTCGCCGTTTAGATTGAAAGAACATGGAAAATAGGCATCTCTAAGTGTGGTGGAAGTATAGTGGACTACAGGTACAAAGCTTGAGCCCAAAGCGGGCATTCCTGCAAAAAAAGTAGGGTGTAAGTAACCCTAAATCGATCGTAAGACCTGTGGTCAAAATCTGGATCGCTGGAGGTGGCTTTGAAATGGATTGGGCCACGGGCCAGGTCATTAGAGTGGGCCGCGAGGCGTGTTGGGCCAGCGTCTACTCGCCTTGGATCTGCATGGTCGTGGGCCCTCCTAGCCTTTGGGCTGCCATATCTTAGCCTGCTAGCTGTGGCTTGGGCTTAGGCCCGTTGAGCTGTTTAGCTGGCAATAGCTATTGCGCTCTGGGCCTCCTGCCCATGGGCTTGGAAATGGACCTGGGCCTCCTGCCCAAGGTTTTAGTCCATGTGCTACAAAGGCAGCATTGTTAAGGCTTAGGTCGTGGCCTGATGGCTTTGCCGCGGTTGCTAGGTCACAGCACTAGTGGTGGTGCAGCTACGTGGCGGTAGAGTTCCTCCTGCCGTCGCGTTGAGCCTTAAGGATCTCGATCGTGGGGCTATGTCCTCATCTCTATTCTCCGATCCAAATCCTTGCACGTACGGGGTTCCATTCGTCCTAGTTTCCAAATTTCCTACCATTGTATCATTTCTCCAGGGACTGATCAAGAAACTTTTCAAGGAAAAATTAATTGATACAACATGTGAGAAATTCAACGTAACAGAAAATTCAAGAAACTAATGCAAGAGGCTTCTTCGAGTCTTTTGAATCAATTATCAATGAAAGCACCAATTTGTTAATGCAAATTTCTGCCGTCTTTAGTCTTGATGAAAATGCACCTACAAAACAATCAACACCTTTGATCAGAGACCTAAGCCTCACACGCCCACGAGGTGGGGGGTGGGGGTTAGGTTAACAGATCTCTAATGCCTAAGTTAGTTTCTCTGAGAGAGTAAAGTGTTTAGGGCTTTTTTAGGGTTGCAAAAAGCTCTCCAAAATTGGTAGAATATGGGGCATTTATAGGGCTAGGGCCAGCCATATAGTGTTTAATGGAGAGATATTCTCTAAATATTCCCAAGATATTTAATAGGAAATAATATCTTGAAATAATGAGGTAATTATCCCTAATTGATTTAAATTAGGATTACTTACTTGATTGGACATCTTCAATTAGGAATGTGTTAAAGATAGGATTTGGGTAATTAATCATCATCTTTAATTCCTTGCCAAGGGCATGTGACCTGTGGGCAGTTGTGTTCTACTGCTGAGCCTTCCAGGGATGTAAGCTGCGCGTGGGAACATCTGAGAAACTTGCCCATTTATTAAGGGTAATTTTGTCTTTCTTGAATAAAAGTCCACGTGCAGCCTCTAAAATATTTGAGATTATTTTAAGCTCCACAACAACTTTACCATCAAATCAATGGCACCAAAAAATTCAAACCCATCTAAAAGAAGACACCCATTTCCATGTTTCTCCATTGACACATCCAACAGAAGAAACGCATTTCCCTGTAAAGTATTACCACTTTGTATTTTCGATTTCATCACCAATTTTCTCCTCCTATCGTTTATAATATATTCATTTTCATTTTACTTTATGTCGAGTGGAAAATCACAATCTGTCTATAATCCAATATCTGAAGGATTTTCTCTGAAATCATTTTTTTCTAAAGGGACATATTTGTGGAGAGAGATAGAGGCTGGGGGGTGATGGTATGGGTGATATTTCACGAAAAAACCTATCTAGATAAGAGTCTATCCAAATTCTCAAAAATCCATTGAAAAGTTGTGGATTTAGTTAATCCAATCAAATATACCATTTCGACGATTTTCCATATTCTGAAAATGTTTTTTTTTTTTTTTTTTTAGGTGAAACGATATATTTTGTTAGATTAGCCACCAACGAAATACTAAAAATGTTAATAAGCTCATTATCAGTCCCATGCATTAAATATTTCTTTCTCCAGATAGATAGAACACCAAACAATCATATCATTCATTGATCTCCAATCCATTCAATTGCATATTTTATTTTTCACAATGTTCATAATAAGACAGAGAATGCTCTTTCGAGAAAAGTTGTTTCAACTAGCAAGCAGGGTAAGCCAGTGGATATCCCTTTTTTTTTTTTTCTCCTTTCTTCTTTTCCTTTTTTGTAAGATCCCACATCGTCCATGAGAGTGGATCCTGTAAGCCTTATATGTATATTTCCATCTCTACCTAGCACGAGGCTTTTTGGGAGCTCACTAGCTTCAGGTTCCATAGAAACTCCGAAGTTAAGCGAGTAGCACACGAGAGCAATCCCATGATGGGTGACCCACTGGGAAGTTCTCGTGTGAGTTCCCAGAAACAAAACCGTGAGGGTGTGGTCAGGGCCCAAAGCGGGCAATATCATGCTACAGTGGAGTCGAGCTCGGGTTGTGGTGGAGGCCTGGGCCGGGATGTGACAATTTGGTATCAGAGCCAATCCCTAGCCGAGTGTGCCGATGAGGACTTCGAGCCCCTAAGTGGGGTGGATTGTAAGATCCCACATCGCCCAGGGGAGTAGATTTTGTAAGTCTTATATGTATATTTCCATCTCTACCTAGCACGAGGCATTTTGGGAGCTCACTGGCTTAGGGTTCCGTAGGAACTCCGAAGTTAAGTGAGTAGTGCGTGAGAGCAATCCCATGATGGGTGACCCACTGGGAAGTTCTCGCGTGAGTTCCCATAAACAAAACCGTGAGGGCGTGGTCAGGGCCCAAATTAGACAATATTGGTGCTACAGTGGAGTCGAGCCCGGGTTGTGGTGAGGGTCTGGGCTGGGATGTGACATTTTTGGTCTAGACTAGTTATGTTGCAAGATTATCAATTCCTTGTAAATCCAAAAAATTGTGTTATAAATTAGAAGCTTATCTCTTGGTGCCTCAAAATCTTGTGTAGAAAGTACTTTTATGCATTCAGGTCATGCATACCTTTAGTTTAGTGATATTTCTTTTTTAATATCGGAAGAAGTTTTAAAAGTTTGAATCTCTTTCTCCAGAGTCTTCACTAACAAAAAAAGGCTTTTTTTATTAGTACCCCATATAATGTTGAATGCACCCTACATTAAAATTTAATATTAAGCGGCTTATGTAACCTACTATGCAATGACAATTTCAACTTTATGAGGTTTAAAGAAAATAAGAAATTTCTAAATACATCCCAAATTACTTTTAATGTATTAATTATTTTCTTCAATTATCAAAACCCCTCTCACCCTCCTATCCATTATTGAATAAAATTCTAACTATTGAAACTATAAACACGTTGATTGATAAAAAATTTAACGAATGGAACACAATATCAGTATTTCGGAAACTTCACATGAGGTAAAATTTCATATTTGTTATTGTTTTAATTATTCAATGACATTGGTAATTATTTAAGCCTGTTTTTGCTTTCCATACTACCCAATTTCATTGGAGGCCAACCCAACAACGTCTTTTCTGTTTTTATTCATCTTCTAGGGTTTACTTTTGCTCTCTTAGGTTTCTCCCAGTTGCCATTTTTTATCAGAAATCCTCTTTTTTGTTAGCTAAGGGCTTAAGAGATAGAGAAAAGGAGATTCGTTGTGATGACCCAATGAAATTCAAGCTCAACAGACCGTATTGTAGACTTCTCTTTTTAGAGAATGTTAGGGTTTTAATCCTAAGTCAATTTAATTTATAAAAATTGGAAATGAGTATTATAAGATTTAAAGAATGTGGGGTGTATGTGGAAAATATTAGGTGCATGAGAACGTTGGGTGTAAGGGTATTATGAGAAAGTATGTGAGGTGTATTAAGATAATTTTTAATTAATAAAGCAAATATAAAGTGTATTAAGTATGTGAGATTTAATCAATAATATATGAGGTGTTAATAGAATAAGCCATAAAAAAACTATTATAAGTGTTTTCTAGATATTATAATACAATCCAATAATTTAGAAAGGTCTAATCGGATAAATGGTCCCCGTGGTCATAAAATATTCAGAAGATAGTCCCTGTAGTAAAAAAATCGGATTTAAACCCCTATGGTCTAAGTCCGTTAGGATTTATACCCGAAATTAGAACTTCGGTTATTCCTCCGTTAGTAGCTTGCAGGTGGGTCTCACGGGTAAGACTAAGATGGTCATTTCATCCTTTCCATTTCATCCCTTCCATTGTTGATCTCTTTTGAGAACAATGAAACGATGACATGGTCATTCCATTTCATCCCTTTAAAAAAAAAAAGTACAACAAAAATTCGAGGGATCAATATTTATCAACACTTACACTTGGCACGATGCTTGCTTCTGGGTGGTTTTCTAGCACCAGACGGCAAAATTTCTAGGTGAACCAAAATACTAATACCACTACCACTACCTTCTAGTTTAGTTGCATTGATCAAAACCCACATTCGTAATTAATAGAGTATTAATACCAAGATGGTTAAATTTAAAATTTAAGTAATCAAATTAACAAAAGTTAAGTTTTTGCTATAAATTTGCACAAACCAGGAGGATGCATTTTGAAGCCGACGAGCAGCAAGCAAATAAAAACAAAAAAAAAAAAGGCTGCAAAGAGAAAAGCCAGAACCAGAATTTGTTCCTGGCGATTCAACCGAGCCTTTTTCCTTTGCAAACAAGGCGAGTGCCGTGCTCACTTAGATACTTCAATAACGCTCCGATTATACCTCCCCTCATCTCCTCCGGCAACATCGATTCGCCGTCGTCGTCTATGGAACTGTTTTTATGGCGAGTTTGGAAAGGATGAAATGGAATGACCGTTTCATCGTTCTGAAAGGAGATCAATGGAAGAGATGAAATGGAAAGGATGAAATGATCATCTTAGTCTTATCTGTGGGACCTACCTGCAACCTACTAATGGAATTACAGAAATTCTAATTTCGGGCATAAATTTTAACAGATTTTGACCACAAAGATTTAAATCCGAATTTTTTTACTCTAGGAACTATTTTCCAAATACCTTATAATCGCAAAAATCATTTATTCGATTAGGACTTTAGAAAAGTATAACCTAAGTTCACACGTGTTATGTTGTAATTTGTGTGTATCTTGATGGTCAAAATTTTATATACATGAAGGTGGTGAATTAAATAAGTAGACTTGGAAAGGCCACATCAGTCTCCTGAATAAGAGATAACAAATGCAGATAAAATTGGTTATTATAAATGAATTCAAGTTATGGACGTTTTCCATTTTATTAGGCAGAAAAAATTGGTTATTATAAATGAATTCAAATTATAGACGTTTTCCATCTTATTGCACCCCATTCTCATGTTATGTATGTATTCCTATTTTTTTTTTTTTCGTTGAACAAAAGATATTATCTACAATAGGTTTAACTTCATAATGTATTAGTAATAATGTGCATATTACTATTATCTATGAATGAATATCGTATTTTACCTAAAAATAAAGAGAACTGTTATTAGCATTCCAAAAATCTTATTTAGCACTTTTCACAAGTGTATTTTTCTTTTTAAATATGGAAAGTTTGAAGTGCCAAATAAGATTTTTGAAGTACCAATAATAATTCCTAAAATAAAAATAAAAATAAATTAAGAAATTAATAACGCATTACCTCAACTCCACGCAATGCAAACTCCATTCTAAATCCCCTTCAATCGCTTTTACATCTTACAATAATTAATTCTGATACGTCTTAATTCCTTTGTTGTTCCTATCGAACTTTGACCAGCAAATCTACCGCTCCATTGATTAATCAAACTAATCACCTTAATTAGCAATTAAGATGGAGGAAAATCAACCAAAGTAAGGAGTCGTTCTACTTCAACCGCCGGCCTTGGGAATTTTCTGCGTGGTTCCAAAACTTAACGCGCCTATAAAATCCAAGAGAGACAAATCAGTCATATTTTTGTTTCTTCAGAAATTTCATGTGCATGATCTAAATTGGTTTTGATTATCGTTTTTATTGTGATCTCGTGAATCAGATCATTTAATGCTTATGTTCATAGTATTTAATGCTACGTAATACAAAAGTCAAACCCCTCTAAGATAGTGGGAGGGTCCAGAAGGGCCTAATTGCATGTCACAAATTGGAACAAAAAGGCATATATACACATCACACGAATTTAAGAGGTGCAACTACGACCACTACTATTAGTCTATGAGCTGCTAGGTGGCCACTCAGAATAATTCAAAGCAGGTTTCACCCTGCAACAGCCAGCGCAGCCTGCCACTATCACAAAGCTCTACCCTAGCCCTTTTCTCCTTGTTTGCTTTTCATTTCAGCATCTCAAGGGACAAAAAGTTTGAAGGATGCCAAGAAAAATCCATTATTTCTTGTGGAACCACCACAGCCACTTCATTTTTTGTTAGGAGGGTGGACCTGAAATGAATTCAACACAACCATTTATTTGAAATTAGCTACCAAGATTAATTAAGGCCATCTCCAATGGAGAGGGCTAAAAGTTAAAAATCAAAAAATAATTTAATTTGTCAAAAAACTCATCTTCAGCCGATGACTAGGCTATAACTTTATAGAGCCCACCAAGCTATTATTTGGTGAAAGGGGCTTCTGGCCAAACAAAGCCCCCTCTTATAGAGTTCCTCAATTACAATAATTGATTCAAATTCAACGACTAAATATGAAAACATTCAACAGTAGTTTAACTAAATTAACCATAAAATTTAAAGTAAACTTAAAACTAATAAATTATTGAGGGGGCTATGATTAGCCTCTTTGGTTGAAGATGATATATAAGTGTGGACTGACTTTGTTCATTTAAAAATAATTTTTTGTAGGATTATAATTTTAGACAAACTATATTTAGCTCTTTCGGTTGGAAATGAACTAAATGTAACAAATATATCAGAGAACTCACAAGAGCAAGAGAGACTTCATGGAAGAAATGGTCAACTGAGTGCCAATGACTTGTCGGCACTATTGCCTTATAAAACAAGCTATCCACACCACCGCAAGGTCACAATCACCAGAACTTTCCTCATTTTTGCACTGAAAAATACCCAACAAATTGATTAGAAAAACCAGAAGCAAATAATTATAGAGAAGGTAGAAAAAGATATACCAAAATATGCTCTCACCACCTTGCAGTAGGGAAGCCTCGGGGAGGAGCTGCTTACATGGTTGCTGCTTACACGGTGGAGCTTCCTCCTCCTCCACCTATGATGCTTCTTCAACTCCCAAATCAACAAAGAAAGTCAACATGTTCAGGTACGACTTCACACTTGCCATATCTTCTTCTCTCCACCCAAATACCCAATTCACCAATCATGAGTCCCTCCCTTCCCTCCATGAAGCCTTCTCTTCCTTCACGAAATCATTCCCACAATTTTCGCAGACTGACCAATCTGACCTCATCAGAGCCCATCAATATTACCATCTCACCCTCTCCAACCATGTCTGCTTTGATTACATTGGACATTGCCTCTTCTCTTACTCTCAGTCTCAGCAACAAACACAATATAATTCCTCATCGTCTCAAATCCCTTCAACTTCCTCTTCCCCTCCTCCTCCTCAGTTGCTTCACTCCCAAGAACCATTGTTTTTCGACATTTCATACAAGTCAGTAAACTTGCACACCCAAGTTTTGTATGGAGGGCAAGAATCAGAATTGGAGCTTCAAATGAGGAAAAGAATAATGGATTATATGAACATCTCCGAAAGTGATTACTCCATGGTTTTCACTGCCAATCAGTCATCCGCTTTCAAGCTTCTAGCCGACTCGTATTCCTTTCGCAACAATCCAAGTCTTTTGACTGTTTATGACTACAAGAATGAGGGAGTGGATGTGATGAAAGAGAGCTCAAAAAAGAAGGGAGGACGGATTATGTCCGCAGAGTTCTCATGGCCTAACATGAGAATTCAGTCGCGAAAATTGAGAAGACGGATTGGGAATGGTAATCCGACGAGGAAAAAGCAACGGGGGCTGTTTGTTTTCCCACTTCAATCGAGAGTGACAGGAGCGCGGTATTCGTATATGTGGATGAGCATAGCGCAGGAGAATGGTTGGCATGTTTTGCTTGATGCATGTTCACTGGGGCCTAAGGACATGGACACTTTGGGCCTCTCACTCTTTAAGCCTGATTTTCTCATTTGCTCTTTCTTCAAAGTTTTTGGGGAAAACCCATCAGGGTTTGGTTGCTTGTTCGTCAAGAAATCCAGTGCCTCAGTCTTAAAGGATCCAACATTTGCTTCAAGTACAGGAATTGTGAGCCTTGTCCCGGCATCAAAACGATCTGAATTTTCAGAGGAGTACTCAATTTCTATGGACATGGAAACTGATCGAAAACAGTCCAAATTCAAAACCTCGAAGTCCCATGAAAGCGAAGAAGTCTCCCTAAAGAAGAAGGAACATTTAGTTTCTGAAATTACGGAATTAGACAGAGAAGAATCCAATCAGTCTGTCAAATCAGATAACTCAGCGATCACATGCAAGGGCTTGGATCATGCCGATTCATTAGGTCTAGTACTGATTAGCCGAAGAGCAAGGTACTTGATCAACTGGCTAGTGAATGCATTGATGAGCCTTCAATATCCGCACTCACAATATGGCCATCAATTGGTCAGAATCTATGGACCAAAGATAGAATTTGATCGGGGACCAAGCTTGGCATTCAATGTGTTTGACTGGAAAGGAGAAAAGATTGATCCGTTGATCGTGCAAAAGCTAGCTGATCGAAACAACATTTCACTGAGTTACGGGATTTTGAACCACATTTTGTTCTCGGACAAGCACGAGGAAGAGAGGGAAACAAAGTTGGAGAAATGCACAAGTGATCAAGTGGAAGGAAGTAGTAGTGAAGGGATATCTGTGGTGACTGCTGCATTAGGGCTTTTGACAAACTTTGATGACATTTACAGGCTTTGGGTATTTGTTTCAAGGTTTTTGGATGCAGATTTTGTGGAGAAGGAGAGATGGAGATACATGGCTCTTAATCAAAGGACTGTTGAGATTTGAAGTAAATTAGTTTGTCAATTAATTCTTTCATTCTTTCACATTGTTTTATGAAAATATAGTCTTGACTCTCGGACTATGTGACATTTTACATTGTTAAATTGATAATAGTTCGAAAACGCAATATGTCGGACCGTTGGCAAAATAACAAGAGAATATTAACCCGTGGTTATACTGCTAGCAAAACTGCATGAACACATTCGTTGATTCGTGGGAGCACTAGTCTATTCATATTATAATTTATGTGAAAATACCGTCATGTGGTGTTATAAATTATAATATGAATAGACGACATAATTGAAATATCTCGTCTACGGAGTATATTGTATAAAAGATATTCGAGTTTGAGGCCTTACCTCATCTCAAAAGAAGAATATGAAAAGTACTTATATGTCCAATTCTTATAAAAACTTTCAACTTGCAAAGGATTTGTAGCTCAAGCATGCTAAAGCGTTTATGTTTACCTTTGCGCACGAGGCCTTCTCTTGATCCCCTCCCTTAGTAATTGCTTAAGTCAAGTTAACTTGTGAGATTTTTCTAGGAATAATATATAATTGAAACTATAAGCGAGTTTAGTTTATATCGACATCGACATTAAGAGGGAGGAAGAAGAGTTTAGTTGATATCGACGTTAAGAGGGGGGAATAAAATAAAAGAACTCAAAAACTTGTATAAATATAAATGCTCTGGACCGACCAAGCTAATTGTTTGTGAGTTTTTAACTCTCAAAGGTAGATATTTTTCACCACTGGGCTTGGGCCCAGCTTTGAACAGCATGGGTCGGGCTGTAATAAGGATTCGCCAATCTTGGGCTTTTGGCCCCATTTCATAAGAAAAAGAAGATTTTTTTTTTTTTTTTTTTTTTGGGTTATACGATAGATTTTGTTATATTAGATTTTAGATTAACTACCGATGAGATTCAAACTCACGCCGTCATGTAAATGCTCAATTCTTTTCCACGACTATAGAAAATGGCCACTTATGGAGAAGAGTTTTCAAGTATATAATTTGTGCGTTGACAAAAATTGAATGATTATAAATTATTTGTGTCAGCATATGAGAAAACGTTTGGAAGTTGGAACTTGAGAAATTCATTTATAATGCCTGAACTTACGCACGAGTTTTTCACCAGAAAATTGTTTTGGGCTTTAGAACTTAATCATTATGATATGACGTTAACCTTTCCCCACCACCTAATTTTTCGAAAACGACGTTCAAGAAATTAAAAAAATTAAGAAAATTTGTAAAAGGACTTTCAAAAAATAAAAAATAAAGAAAAGAACTAACCTAGCTCCTCGAAGGATAAGAGAAATTGGTTAACAAAACCTTTTATTTATGATTAGAATTGTTAATATTATAAATCACAATATAAAGTTATTTATACAAAAAATCGATAAAATATGAACTAGTTTAATCAACAAATGCTTTAAAACAGTTAATTAAAATCAACATTTGTTACTGTTAATTGAATAAACGATTTTAATTTCAATTTATTTTTTGATATATCGTATGTATGTAACGCTCATTTGCTAACTCTAGTTGAGCATGGCTGGCTTTGACTAAAATGGTTAATAATTTAACACCGTCAACTTTGACTTGGAATGTAGATTTGAGTATGGGGTTAGGTGGGTAATAAAACAAAAGGATACATAGTTTTCATAAAATTAGCTTATATAAACTTGGAGAGATGACAGATCTGGCACAGATTCCAATTGTTTAATTAATTTGTATATTCTGTGACATTTCATAGATTTAAATAAGAGAATTGTTATTAACACTTCAAAAATTTCATTATACACTCTTTATAAGTATATTTTTTTTTCTAATTATAAAAAATTTAAAATACCAAATAAGATTTTTATAATACTAATAACAATTTCCTTAAATAATACGGAAATTTTCATTTTGGCGTGGCATCTGCAATTATGCATTTTGCTTCTGTCGTGATTCCAAACGCTTCGTATGATGTGAACCCAAAATCACATGTAGAGCAATGAAATCGTTCTTTATTGTTTTATTTTTATCAACTAGTTTTTAGTACAGGATTTTAATTCCATCTAGATTTAAATTGTGGAAATCTTATGAATTTTTATATTTTAATTATTTACTCATATATCGTGTTATCATAAATTATTTTGAATATTTTTATTTAAATTAAACATAAATAGTAGTTAACAAAAATTGATCACAACAGTTAGAATGTAAGGATCTCTAAGATCCCCACAAAGAGGATCCTCATCCTTTAGTACAATAGTATTTTACTTTTTTTCTTATTACATGCAAAGAAATGTTGAGTTCGAATCTTAAATTTTATTAACAGAATAAAAAATAAGTTTAATTATTTACAGATTAAACAACAGTAAATTTACTAAATTGTTTCTTAAATGGGAATTGTTATTAGCACTCCAAAAATCTTATTCTACATTCCAAACTTTTTATATTAGGAAAGAAAAATACACTTAGAGGAGTGTAGAATGAAATTTTTAGAGTATCAATAACACTTCCCTCTTAAATTATTAAATATAAGTCCGACACTGTAATTTTGTTTCTTATTAAATGTTAAAATTTTATGATAAACTTGTAGCTTAAGTGGTTTAAAGCATAATTAAAATATTTTTCACTCTTTTCTTCTGTGCACACCCTTGTTTATTGCTTATATTTGAATCGAATAAAGCAAATGAGAGGTAGAGAAACAGAAATTAACACAAATGTGCATAAAGAGAAATATAATGTAGAAAAATCATTTCTCTAAGGCTTTTTCCTCTACACCAATGTTCAAACTCTCAAATTCGATATTTCTCCCACTATATCATTTACAGGAAAAGTAAAACAAAAGAAACTTAAGAAACATAAACAAGCAGGTGTGTGTGCAAAAAGTGACAAGCAGCGACAAAAAATCATTTTACTCAACCATTTACTTGTACACTAAAGGTTTAAGTTTGATACTGTCGTATTATTTATTAAAAAAATTTGAAAAACGTACAATATGTGGTTTTTGTTAAATTAGTATGCTTCACTCACTCTCCAATTCGCCAGCAGCCTCCATTGTCTACCTTTCAAGCATGAAAAGATATCACAAGCTGATGAAGTCAAAGGCATCTCAATCTCAAACGTGCAAGTTTTCAAGGTTTATTGTTTAAACAAATACTTCACCACTTTTCCATTTTTTTTTCTAATATTCCCAAACCAAACAAGGAATACTAAGTCATAAGTTAGCTTCGCATTTATGCCCCCTTGTTAAGAATTGCAGATTACTCATTGAGTACCAACAACAAAACTAGAATAATTATAATTAATTTGTTGGTGATAAAAAATAAAATAAAATAAAATAAAAAAAGGATATCTCTTTTTTTTTTGTCTCCTTTCGTTTAATTTTTTTTTTCTAGTTTTCGAATTAAATAATCAAAAGATAATTTAAAAAATAAAAACAAGAGAAGAAGTGCAGACATAAAAAATGAGAGGGTGAAAATCACTAACTTTAGAAATCAATATCTTACACATACATGAATTGTATCTTTATGTTATTCTATATCATGCATGCATGCATGCATAGGATCAATTCTTATGTAAAAGAATCCCCACGAGATGGTCCAGTGATTGGGGTCGAATTCCAAGCTCGTATTTGACACAGCATGTCTTGGGTTTGATTCCTGCCGCTGGTGAATTGCACGATGGTGGGTAGAAGGAGGCTTAAATGCTTCTATGAGTCTTACTGGCCCACGAAAGGGTAAACTATCGTGACAAAACCAACAACTAATCTTAAACAAAAAAAAAAAAAAAAAAAAAAGAGTCTTATTTGAAAGCGTAACTCAACTTGAAAATCATGACATAATATTACATATCAGAATTGTCCAAAAGGAGGCCTATATGTACAAGTGGTACGATCATTATTCAGTTATGTGTATTTTGATTACGTACATGTGTGACACGCAAACATTCGACCAAAATAAGTTTTTATCAAAAATACTAGCAAATAGCATATATTTTGTGTGTGTGAACAACCGTCCACATCCTCCCACGTTTTCCTCAAGCGTAACCGTTTCAGTTCATTCAAACTATCCAAAAAACATCATGATTTCACTTACATGTATGAAAAAATGATAGTGGGACAATTTCTCTTAATAAGTGCATATTTTTTATCCTATGTAAATATTTTTGATATAAAATTACTATTTTGCCCTCCTTATGTAAATATTGTGTATCAAAAGTGAGGGCAAAATAGGAAAAAAAGGGGGAAAAAGTTCAAAAGATACAAAATTACTAATTTGCCCTCTTCATGTTAACATTTTGTATTCAAAAATGAGGGCAAAATTGGAAGAAAAGGGGGCAAAAAGTTGTCAAGCCCTCTTCTCTTAATAGAATAGATAACTCTTTTTGGTCTGCAAGTGGTGGATTACGGGTTAGGAGGACCAAAATTTTAAATTAAATTTTGTAAACCAAATTATGTGGATGTTGATGATTAGATTATTACTTAAGTGTTAATTAATGTGCTTATATATCATTTGATTTGCAAATTTGGTTTAAAAATTTGGTCTCCTGCCCTGGCATTATCCGGTGGATTGCTCTAGTGAATAGAGTTTTCTTTTCAATCCACATTGTTCTATGTTCAAACCATACCCCCTCTCTTAAGCGTAGATTAAAGTAGGAATATCATTTGTATTGAAAAATATTACATCTCAATAACTTGATTTTATTTAAGTGGATGAAAATAAAATTATAAATATAAATAGTAGTGACACATAAACATTGCACCAGATTTGAATGATTAACAAACACTGGGGGAAGTATCTGGGATCAATTCTAAGCTCACAAAATAATTATAAAAACCAATAAAAAGTTAAATTCTAAATAAATTAATATATCTATGGGATTTGGAGTCTGCTTTTTCCCACATCATCTTCCATGTTTATATACTAACGCTTACAAGGTTGGACTTGGAGGTAGCAAGTATAAGAAATATCCTGTATATATTCCCCACAAATGAATAACGATGCCAGCTGAGTTTACATACACTTTTCTAATACTGATTAGTAAACAAGCATAACAAATCGTACTAATATTTCAATTAGTTACACATCTGTTGTAATAGAAAAACAGCTTGCACACCTTGACTACAATCTAGACTATAACTTGCAGGTATGTATTCTAGACGGTACGTCTTGGGTTGGACT